GAGTAACAGCCCCAGTATGGCTAATGTGTAAGCAAAAAGCCTATTCACACATGTAGGAGATATAGTGTAACATTAGCTTTAATGGAAAGTCGAGTTTCTAGACTCTCTTTATTTTTGGTCTTCCCACTCCTGAGTGAAATATCAAGCTTTTTAGCCACCTGAGTTCACCAGCTAGTCGCTAACTTTGTCTATAGTTTTGTGTTGGGCAGGTGGTTTACAGATAGTTATTAATGACTGACTTACTTACAGATGGTTCTGCCTGACACTGATGAGAGCTGTGTCATTTACATGTCCCCACCACATTTTTAAATGGCTGATTTTGTCCCCATAACTTTTTGAAAGCATTTGTTAAATATGTTCTGAAAAATAGCTTGTACCAAGAAATAACAAATGAAAATGCTTTGAGAAAGGTTTATTTGCACAATAAGAAAACATGCAATGCCATTTAAATATAGAAAAAACAATTGTGTATTATCTAAAAAACATTAACTTAAGCTTAAAAAAACCTGCTGATTGCTGCATTATATTCTGTTATATTTTAATATTTATGAACTGTCACCTGCCAACTGAATTTGTCTTTATATAAATAAAGACATTTCCACCATGTCTGTGAAGGTTCTAAGTTCTCATAGTTATCCAAAGAAGGTTAAAGTCAAGGGCAACTGGACTTGGTTGAAGATAATAGAAGACGTTTCGTCCCTCATCCAAGAGACTTCTTCAGTTCTGAAATGACTGGTAGGGAAACTCAGCTATTTAGCCTCTGTGTGATCATTTGCCAGGATCATCGATACTGCTGGTTCGTTAGAGCTCCTGGCTGTGGTAACAACACAGGAGGGGGTCTACGCCACCACTTATCCCCCACTTACAATGCTGTCCTTTCATCACTTCCCAGGAAACTGAACAGACGTAACCTCTTGGCCTCAGGTGAAGATGCCATCGATGGTCGTTCAGACTTGGCCTCGGGTGGTTCTAACGACCATAACGACTGTCGTTACCACAGCCAGGAGCACTAACGAACCTGCGGTATTGTTATCATCTTGTTTTTGACCATCGTCAAGTCTCGTGACACACTTGTATCTACATCGTCACCCCTAATCTGAGCCTTTATGTCCCCACCACTTTTCAACACAAAGTGACACCCTTGGCTGTGAGAAGGAACCAAAACAGTCAAGCTGAAGGCCAGAAAATCAAATCAAATAAAGTTAAATAAGCCAAAATACTCCATAGACACAAGAGGAACTGAGGTCAAGTGATAATTTTCTGTTCATCAATACGAATGAGCCTTGTCACATGACACACAGTAAGTTGATCCATATTGAATATAAAAATATCGATGATAGCAGCTTTAACGCTGTGTTGATGCAGATATTGACATTTGACTAGGAACTAAGGCTCTTGCTGGGGTCAGGCCTTCCTGAATCATCCAGTCCCCATGTTTTCTCAAATTGTCATGTCATAGCCTACAAGATTACTAAAATACACACATTCACACACTATTTGAATATATATGGGACATTTGTTCACATGCTTTGGTTTCTTGTTATTATGCAGTGTTAATCTTAAATACCTAAAACAAAATACTATGAAATATAATTAAAATTGTATATGTTATCAAACACAGAGTCCTGTCACACTAAGCACACCCAGTTATTTGAAACTTAACATCTACAGTGTTTATGCAAAGTGTTTTCATGAAGACATCAGACTTGCAGAATCGTGGTATGAAGGGGGAACTAATTGAAACAATGCATGATGGATTTCCCGAGATATTCCTCAGAGGAAAGCAACTTCTTTATTGAGTCTGAGCATGTCGGATCTACTTACTGTGGGCCAGAAATGATTTATCAAGCTTTTACTCATTGTGTTCTAAAAATACATCTTCATCTAACTCTGTTTTATCTTCTCAGCCTCAGGTTCAGCGTTTCACTAAAGTCGGATGCTGATGAAAATATGTGACGCACCATTTCCACATCACAAACGTTGCTTTTATGAATCATCAAGGAGAGACATTCTATTTTGAACTGCTACACTTTTAATTAATATGCCCTTACATAGTAACCATATAACAGTGATGCACTAAATCCATCCAATCCAAGCCCGCAGTATATTTAAAAAGAGGCAACTCATGCCAAGAAAACACTTTTGGATTCATTTGTAACATGCGTTTGACTCTATTCTTCATTACCTCTCTTAAATACTTTCTGTGTAGCTGAGTGCCAGCAACGGCTAAACACCACTTCACTCTCTTCAAATACAGTACGCTCTAAGATAGCCGTACTCTGGATTAAATAAATCCCCCACAGCCTGAGTTTAAGCATTGTATTGCTTCAATACAGGGTTTACAAAGACTGAGGCCAAACTAGTGAAAGTAGTGCACAAAAGGTACAACTTTGTTGTTTCCAATTAGAAAGCAGATCAAGCAGCACATTTATTCTGCATGTACTCCAGCCCGTTCTCATTCCCAGAGCGCCAAATAGTTACGCTTTGTCATGCCGTTTGGCGTATGGTACTAATTTACCAATTCAGATGGCACCCATGAGCGTCATAGCTCAACACACTTGGGGAAGCCATTTGTTCACTGCTAAAAGTAGGCCTACAATAAATAACAGAAAAGTCAGAGTAAGGAGGTGGGTGTATCAGAATCCGGGCTTTCACCCAGGAGACCGGTGTTTGTTTCCTGTGTGAAACAAAAAGTCAACAATAATTCTTTTTAGTGATGTTCCATAACTTATGTAAGTTACTTAACTCATGTAATTTAAGACACGTTGTTATTTTAACCCAAACCATGATCTTTTTCTAAACTTAACCAGTACTTTTTGTGCCTAAACCTAACCAACTTGTTAGGTTTAGGCCACCATGTTTCAGACGTTTACTATGTGCCATTTCACTGAGTTAACCACTGGTTTTATTTTGAAAGTCCAACCAGACGTTGCATATTGATTCTTGCTAACTTGACCGTGGAGCCCTACACGTACAAAAGCAACTCTAAAGGGTACCCAAGGCATTAGAAAGCAATGCCAAGGGGTGTCGACGAAGCAACCATATGTGATGCCTTTAGATGAGAACGGGTTGTGTACTTATAATACCTTCTCTATTTTTCACAGGTCCATGACCTTCACAAACCTCCTGAGAGTAAATACATAAAGCTTCAAAAGCATGAAAGGACTCTTTTGATTACTTTTTTTCCCTGTCTGATACAGGTTCCAAAGTATGCATCAAGCATGTAGGGACAGCTTCCAATGAGACTCCAAAATGACACTTGCTTGACAGTAAATGGCAAGTGTATGGCAAAAACTGCACTCCCATCAGCTGGACACTACACATTTATTTATTTATTCATTTTAATTTTAAGTCATCATCCCTGCATACTGTGTTGTCAGAAGCCCGTTCAAAGCATTGTCACGTATACTGTGTAAGACGATCAAAAGCTCCAACTGCTGTTTCCAAGGTCAAGACCAACCTTTCAGTCTCAACTGTTGTTTATATGTCAAACATTTGATTGATCTACTTCCTATCCTTAGATCCTTGTTTCCAATTAGGAAAACTCTCCCTAAATTGAGACATCAAGCTCATTTTTATGCCTTAACTTCCAAATAGTTCCCCCCATACCTATGTTAGCATCATCCTTCTGGTTGGTTGATTTCAATTCTATGTATTAAAGCAATAGTTTGACATTTTGGGGAAATATGCTTATTTGCTTTCTTGCTGAGAGTGAGATGAGAAGAGAGAATTATCATACGTGTGTAAATATAAAGCTAGGTCCAGGAGACGCATAGCGTAGCATAGAAACTGGAAACAAGAGGGATCACATTGTATAATTTAATGAATGCCTACATTTATTTTTTATGTATTTTGGTGCATTTAATAGAATGTTTATTTATTTATTGAACATATTTTAATTTCTTTATTACTCCATACTGGTAGGTGGATTTTGTAACTGGTTAGGCAGATTAACTTTCTTTCCCCCAAATGTCATACTATTTAAGGTTGAGGCCATAATAATTTCATGTCTGTCCTGCCAACAAGAATCTTAATACATTTTTCAACCTTTAAGCCAACAGGAAAAAAGTGGACATTTGAACTACTGAGCAACTCCATCCACTTAGGAAGATCGCAGTATATGATAACAAGCACCAGAACAGCCACTGTTTAGCTGAGATACACAAACATTGCCCATTTCTATATTGAACTATATTCACGCATATATATCACACAAACAGTATATGTCTCCCCGTCACTGCGTGCTACACTGAGAGCTTCTGTAAACACTTTAAAGGATAATTGTGTTATTTTTTTATAAACCTGGGTCCTATTTTCATACATCTGGCTGTCGAAATGACTAGTAGATACAGAACATTGTAATCTGTGCAGTAGATGGCAGCTGCAGTTTTAACCTATAGGCTTACATGTTTGCAGCAAATAAAACTACAAGTAATAAAAGCTGAATATTCCAATTGAAATGATCACCGAGATCAGTCATTGTTCTTCTGGCAATATAATGAAATCTGGGCACATTGCAATTGTCTAATAGGTAGGTGGGTTTAAAGTCAGTTAACAGTAAGCAACTGACCAAATTAAAGGAAGAAGTCTCTTAATTTACTTTGTCACCAGCAAACAGACGGGCTACAGATGCAGGTAGATGCAGACTATTCAGAGAACATGGAGATACAGTATAATGCGAGTTCAATGGTAAAAATAAATATGCTGCGTAAAGCTTAATATGCAAGCTTATAATGTGAGTGGGAGGTGCTATTAGCTTATTTGCTATGTTTGTGTTCTACAAAGTGGTAAAAATAAAAAGAGAAAGAAAATTTTTTAATTGCAGGCAGGGCCTTCATCATGTGGGAAGGGAATTAATTTAAGTCACATTGCAATTTCTTTTCATTAGCCAGATTTATATGTTTTCTTGCACAACTACTCATTCATGCCAACACTACACACTGTTTCATTTCCCAGATACTCAGCATTACTCCTGGGTGAAAGATAAAGGCAAGTCTTACCTATATTGTGTGGTATTGTGCCATATGGTCCAACGGAAACACCTCTAGGCCACACATTCACCCTCAAAGGGCACGATGAAAAAGAAGACTGTTGAAAGAAAATAAAAGAAGAGGCTGTTAAATCGCCATTTTCAACACCTTGACTTTATTGTCATTACTGAAAGAGGTTATTTCTCACTATCATATTGAAGGTAAGGCGTAGATAATTAAAAGAGACGGTGATGTGAGGTCCCATGCAACATACACACTACTGTCAAATATTGTATTGAATAACACTGCAATAAAGTAGCCTACATGAAGAATCACACTATAGATTGTACATGTTTGTACTCTCTATGACAACATGTATGTTAACCTCTGTATTGTGACACACCCTGAAACAAAGCCATATACTTTGATACATTTGATGTGAGCCAGTCATGCCACAAAGCTATGAAACCTTTCACCATTCAGGCAGCGCTATTATGACTTATAAGGAATTATCTGCTTCTCAAACAAAAGCCTATAAAAATCTCCTTAAAGCATCATGTAGCAGGGAGGGGAGATTAGATTGGTTTATGGAAAGTTATTGAAATAGAGCACAGCAGGGTGTTTGTGCAGGGCCCCGGCTCCAAAGTGACATTATAATCTCGGCAATGACTGAACGCACATTAATCGCCTCTTTTCTCTTATTTTTGTAGCCAGTCGTCCCTACAAAATGTTTGCCTTTCTAAACATATTCTCTGAGAGCTGCCTTGTTTGTTTGCATTGCAAATATGTGTGGGCGCAAGAGTGTGGGTGTGCCTGTATGCATGTCTGAATATGTTTGTGCTCGGCTTTATGCATGAGAAAAGGATGCTTAATATACAAGGTCATGCATGAACAAATGCTTGTTTTTTTTAACATGCGGTGAGGTGAAATGCCACCATTTGCTTTCAAAAGAACAGAAACATATGGTCCCTCAAAGTGACAAATGAGGGTGAGCGTGTTTGGTAGTCTCAAAATGTGGCCTCGTATTCAATATGAAGGGAATCGATGACAGGTTACACCTCTTGTCTTCCTCCTTTGATAGTAAACATCTTTATATTCCACTCAGTTTCATCCTTTGAGGTGTTTATATGCTGCTTCTCTCAAGAAATTGCCGTCCCACGCAAGAACGACATGATCCAGCGTTTGTAGTCGGTGCTGCTGTTGACTGATTCTCTTTTATACAAATTCACACTCTCGCACTACTGTTCCCTCCGTGCCTCTCTCCGGGGGCTCATGACACACCTCGCTCTCTCGGTTCAGATTCATTGCCTTGTCTTCCTGCTCGCTCTTCCCTCGTGATCTCGCAGAGGATGTCAGTCTGATAAGTGGAAACTACTCGCAATTGCACCCCCAACGGTGCTTTGATTTCTGGGGCATATCTTGCTCATCAACAGTTTTCTGTCGACAAGGGGACCCTACAAAAGAACAACCTAAGCCTCAGTTTTTAGGCGGGTCCCCGGCTGGGCTTAGCCAGTCAATCGCAGTGTTCACAACACCAACACAGGATGCCCTGCAAGCTCACCTAAGAGACTGTAACTCAACTCAAAACCTTCCTGACTAGAACTATTCAAGCTGAAATGATCTGAGAAGTTGGACAGTGGGTTGATGCTGATTACCTGAGATTTGCCAATTTATAAAGTCATTACTAGCTTTTAAGGCTTAGCAGTCAGAGAATCTAAATAAAAGCTTATTGACCCACTGTCATTAGCTGTCTTCATTCAAATGGCATTTAAAAGACACTACATCGAGCAATTACCTGCTGGGGTGCATATTCAAGCTAACAAAATAACCGAGGGAACTGAGACTTTAAAAGATGCCAAGAGAACAGCATTTCATTATAAAAACACAACAAGGCTGTTAATAAAATTCAAAATGCATTGGAAATCTGTTAATCCTTGTGTGTATATATATATATAGTAAACAAACTGCTGCTTGGTTTTCTAACTCAATACTGCAGTGAATTCAATGAATGATTCCAATTTCTTTTGACTATGCGATTCAGAGTGCATGATACTGATGAAGATTTTAATTAAACGTTCTGTTTGTGTTGAAATCCATGCACAGCAGAATTCGCTTTACACCCCAGGAAACACAGAGTTGTTACATATCCATCCATGACTACAAATACAGGGCACACAGTAAATCATGTTATGAGACTTCATTATTCTGTCTTTGTATCAGAATATAATATTAATGTTGCTAATTAAAAGATGAGTTTACTTGGATAAGGCAGACCTAATGACATACTACTAATAAAAAAAAATAATAATTAAAAGTGGAAAAAGAATGGGGAACACAATGCTGTGAAACTAACCCTAACCCTAACCAACGATGAATTGACTCACGAGTCGTCTTGCTGAAGCCTTATATATATTATTCCTCTGTGCCATAGAGCTCTGTTGTTTTCCAAAAACTATTAAACATATCAAGAAGCCTCTCTGTGGCATTAGAGGATATGTTCCTTCATTACCATGAACATGGGCACTGTATATTTTGAATAGATCCCAGATACACCATCTTGCTATTAACATCAACTAGAGACCAAATGTGTGTTAATCCACAGTGAAAATAGTCCCCAACAAATGTATTAGATACTCTAATTTTAGCAATTTGTTGATGATGAAACTATATATCTGTAATTTTTGTCTTGAAAAGGTTTGGAGCTGAGTGGCACAAACAACTTATAGTAGTATTGAGAGAATGACACATTTTTGGGGTTTGCTCTTTCATGAGATTTGTTAATGTCAGGGACCAAACAGTCAAGCAATGAGGAGAACTGGAGTTTTTGTTGAAAAATTGGGTTTATTATTTACCCAGAAATACAATAACCAATAAATTATTATTTACCCAGAAATACAATAACCAATAACCAAGAATTTAACATCTAGGCCTAGAAAGGAGGTCAACAAAATATAACTATACTCAAAACAGCATACAACAAAACAGGATATGGACTGAACAAACTGACCTAACTAAATGAGACACAGTGGAACATATATAGTGGCTTGGCCAAACCAATTTACACACAAGAGGAAAACAAAATGGATCAACTACAACTACTACATAGTAAAACAAACTAAACCCAAATTCCCCCTCCAACATGGCAGCACATGGTACGGCTTGATTGGCAGGTTATACCAGTACTCCACCCTTGGTTATGACTTTATTCCACCGGGCCAGACCTCTCTCCAATATGGTAACACAAGCAACAATCATGATAAATATAAGAGAAAATATTTCCTTAACCCTAAAATGTGAAAATATGTGCACTCAATCTAAGCAGTGTATGGCTAAAAGCAAATAAATGTATATTACAAATCAAATAAACTGTGTAATCTGTCATTGGAAATCATGAATTGTTTGGGGGGTGGTTAACAGGAAAAGGAACCTAACCTGTACTTAACAAAACATGGTAGACTCTTGTACTGTAATACCGTAGTTGGCTGTTACCCTGTGTAGATTGGTCCATCACAGTTAACATTGAGAGAAAAAAGGAGTAACACCTTATCCTTTAAACAGCAATGATGAATTGCTTTTTTGTTACATATTAAAGTTGTGACTTCAAAGCCATTAAATTAAAACAAATAACATAAATTAAGGTGCAAAAATGTACTGTAATGTACACACTGCTATTAAAAGAACTGTTGCAGCCAAATTATTACATTAGGGTCATTTGTGAAAAAACAGGCCCTCAAATGACTTCAGCATATTGAGCACTTAAATAAATGAATAAAAAGGGTCAAATTATATCTACTATTCAGACACTTTTAGTTCGTAGAATTCTAATATATGTTAAAGTCACAAGAGCAATTGCTGCTAAAGAATAGCCTAATTATTTTATTCTGCTTCTCTCTTGTAGAGTGGCAAAGCTACAACCTCTCAGATATGTTTGGGATTTTTTTTAAATCAAATGAAAACCACTTCAGCCGTCAGTCAGCACCTAAAAAAGCCAAAAGTCAGAAATTCCAGGATTTAGATCAAGGTGAAGTATTTTACTTCAAGGCATCATACCAGTCTACTACTACTCTACTGTTTTTTTCCAGTAACATATGTATCAGTCACGAGGCTTGTAAACAACAGCCGCTGGCAGCTGGCAGGCGGATTTCATTCTGGCGCAAACTAAAAGCCCTCCACTTTGTGACCACAGTATGTTGGTGTTTTATTCACTCTTTCTTTCAATTGCCTTTAACTCACAAGTCAGTTTACACCACGGAGACTACAACACATGGTGTCACCCATATTACGCATCATTGAGTCATTAGCAACTGGCTCATGCTCAGCTTTAAAAGCATACAGAAAAAAATAGACAACATTCTCTTCTCCCTCCTTGGACACTACGTGCATGTGAAAGCTGTTAGTGGGTATGAGGTAACAGACAAAACTGGGTTCTCCATGACAAGCCAAGTAACCCCCCCAACAACGTCCCACATTGCACCTCCTGTGGAGAGGTGTAATCACATTTTCTGCAAGGGTGGTTCTAGTGCCCGTGAGGAAAGGGTTTATCGAATTCACACACATTGTCATTACGCAGTCCATGTGGTTTCCCCTCAGTTTCTGCAGCCACTTATATCCAGCTTGTGTGGTTTAAAGAGCATCAAGGCTAGAAAAACAAACACACTTGTTGTTATGCTTGGAGTTCTTTAGATAACACAAAGGGGAAAATTACAAGGTAGGTTGGGAGATGTGTGTTAGATCGTGTCTTTGTGAGTTCAAAGTAGATGTCCACTGTTGAATCCTTCAAGGCATAATTTGCACTATTTGCTGCTGTCACTAATTTAAGTATAGTGATAATTAACGTGTTCTCACTCCGAACTCATCACATATTGATGCTTGGTCAAGGCCCTTTGGCGAGTCTTGTTAACTCCCCGGGTACCCCTTAAGCGTCATTTGTTTGATGTTTAGGGCTCCGCGGTCAAGTTTGGCCCTCCATCCACCCCAACAACCTCCTTACTCAGTCTTTTCTGTTAAATATCTTTCACCTACCTTTACCGTTAAAAACTGACACTACAGGGCTTCCCCCACTGCGTTGAACTATGACACTATAGGGATCCAGTGTGTTACAAACTGACACCGATGGGT